TATGATAAGAACTCTTAACAAAATAGGCATAGATGGGGCTTACCTAAAAATGATACAAGCCATTTATGACAAACCCACAGCCAACATCATACTGAATGGGAAAAAATTGAAAGCATTCCCACTTAGAACTGGAACCAGACAAGGTTGCCCACTATCTCCACTTCTAATCAACATAGTGCTGGAAGTCCTGGCCACAGCAATCAGGCAAGAAAGTGGGATTAAAGGCATACGAACGGGAACAGAAGAGATCAAACTCTCACTATTTGCTGATGACATGATATTATATCTAGAAAACCCCATGGATTCAACCAAGAGGCAAATCGTGCCTCCACCGGCACGTGTGTGATGGTTTATACCCTGCCGCTCTGCATCAGAAATACCAGACAGGAGGAGCTGGAGGCCCTTACAGAAAGAAAGGTTTGCAAAACATGGGGCCATCGTGACCCCCCAACAGCGAAACCTTAGTTAAGTTACTTTGTTGAGAGGCAATGTGGTAAATGGAAACAGAGCTGAATAAATGTTAGGAATTATTGGTAACACTAGTGGTTGTTTCTTAATGAAGAGTTCTATTTTTAGGAAAAAGCATAATTACCTAGAAAAATATACCCCTGGGGATGCTGGCTGATTGAAACAGGAGATTGTCATCAAATTAAGGCTTTACCATCTCAGCATCATTGATGTGTCAGAGTCTTTAGGAGGGAATAAACCACTTGTCAGGCACTGGCTTTGTAAGCTCAAACTAGGAAGAGGGTGGCAGTTGACATACTTCTTTTGGGCTCCCTCTGGAAGGAATGTCTCCTGGGTCCCTCCCTGTCTGACTTAGTCCCAAGACCTCAGAGGGAACAGAGGCATCTCCATGGCGACTGGAAAGCTGCTCAGGGGAGCAAAGCCAGGCACTCAGGTTGAGGACTAAGGGATTAAGACTAATAAACTCAGAGCCATTCCATGGCATCATTGTTCTGAGGCTGGGCTCCAGCCCCGCATCTGACCCAGGGAAATAGGAAAGGAAAACTGCAGGTTTCCATGGCCCCAAATAAACACAGCCTGCTCAGGCCATCTGGTGGCCTGGATTCTGGGAGAGGAGGTGGGTACAGGATAGAGTGAGACAAGCTGCCCTGGGGTGAGGGGAAGAGCAGCTGGCAAGCTCCTCTCACCTGCTGCTGCCATGAACCGTCCAGAATGGGGACCCTTGTGGGAGAAACAGGCCTGAGAGGGGCCACCTGTTCCCCCCAAAAGGTGGAAGCCAGCCTTCTCCTTACCCTCGGCCCTCCATAGGCTGAAATGGTGCTTCAGGAAGAGGGCACATTCATGGGGCAGAGAGGAAAGAGGGGAAGAAAGGATAAAGAATCACTACCCATTCCTGCTAGCTGAGGAGTTTGCAGACCCCAGCCCTTCTCTGCGGCCTGTGCGTTGGGGAACCACTCCCATGTGGAGGGGCCACATGGTTCCCCTGTCTTTTCTGGAGTGCCCTGGGTTGGACTGCCTCTTCAGACTCATTATATGGAAATAGGGAGCATGCAGTGAGGCATAGTGGAATTGGTCAGGCCTGAGTTCAGATATTTCTATGTGACCTTGAATTACTTAACCTCTAAGCCTCCATATCCTCATCAGTAAAATAGAGATTTTATAGCTGCCTCATAAAGTTCCCGAGGATATTAAACACGTGTAAAACACAACACAGTGCCTGACACAAAGTCAGCACACACAAAAACTTAGCTGCTTCTCAGGGATGCTAAGTGCATGCGGGTTTCTTGAGGGCACTTTCTTTTTCTTTCAGAGACCTGATGACTTGTGTTTTCTTCTTTGTTGCACTGGGATGGGAAATCCAGTCTGACCAGCTCTCTTCCAGACCCTCTTGCCTTCCCAACGGGATAGGACGGGCAGCACAGAAGATGCTTCGTGGCATGAGCGAGTGGGCCAAGCTGCCCCTTCCTCCTGGATGGTTCTTCCTTCCCCACCACCTCTTGCTTGCCTGGTCCCCTAGAAACTGGGCCACATCCTGGCTCTCAGCTGAAGGTTTGCAGGGAGGGCGTAAGCAGGTCTGTCCTGCTGCTTCCTCTCACCACAGGGGCTTGAGTTTGGCCTTGGGAATGGGGAAGGGAGCCAGTTCGGAGGAGGACAGAGCTGGGCAGAAGCCCCTGGGGAGGCAGCAGGGAGTATCTGCCAGCCGAGCAAGGACAAAGTGGTGATCAGAAGGGAAGAAGGGGCAGAAAAATGTACCCAGAGTTTAATAGCTGAGGGAGAGCGGGGCCGCTGGATGCAGGCCACAGAAAGCTCCCTTTGCTGTTCGGGTGTGACTGCTCATGTATTAACCACAGGGCTCTCCACTCAGTTGGAGACTCCGAAAGCCACTTGCATGCTGCGCTCATAAACCCCCACTCAGTTTAGTTGATGTAAGAAGCACAGACATTTGGGGCCCAGCTCTGGGCTCCCCACACCACACCTTCCTCCCCTCCGGAGTCTGACGGAAGCTGTTCCCAGCTCCCTCGGGAGCGTAAGGGAAGCAGTGTTGGTGGGAAGCAGTGTTGGTGCATTTTTCTTACAGCGCCAGCTGGCCCCTGAGTCCACCTCCCAGGGAAGACTTTGGAAGCTTTTTCAGAGATGCAGCTTGTGTGGGCTGGTGGGATTGGGGTCCACAGAGCTGCATTTTCTGTCTGGAAACAGGAGAGAGAAGAAGGCAGCAAGAAACTGCCCCCTGCCCCCCAAAGATTCAGGAGCATTTTCTTCTCTGACTTCAGAGGTCACCTACATCTTTGGAGCTGTCCACCAGGACAGGGCTGCCCGTGCAAGGCTGGGTGGGGTTGGCAGCGTGAGGTGAAGGCAGAGCCCCCGAAGGCACCCCTCTGACCCAAACCCACAGGTGTGTCTCTGGCCCTCTGATTCGTGAGCTTGGACAGCAATTCTCAGCTGTGGGTGGACATTACCGGATTTGGAGAGGGCTGGGTGGAGTACGGGAAGTTTTAAAAAAGCACCCTACTATTATTCTGCATTGAGAAAAACGGAAAACCCAGCGGATTGACTGCAGTACGAGAGGGAAGCGGGTGAAATCCTGGGGATGGTGGGCCCGGGAAGACCAGCCCTTCTCTGTGTACCGTCCTGTCCTCCCTGTAACGCGGGGACGAGAGGGATGGGGGGTGGGGTGGGTGAAGAATGGGAGTGGTGGGTTTTTTTTTTTAAGGTATATGGAAGAGAGGTGTGGGGTTTATAAAGTTGAAAAACACCAGGATATGGCCCTCTTGTCATTCCTCTGACTGTCCTATGTCACCAATGGGTGGCTCTCCAAAGGCTGATGGCCTTCCCCATGCTTCAGGGTTTCTCAGGGCATTAGCCCCACCCCGGGCTCCTTCACTCTCCCTCTACGATTCAACCTCGGCTATTAGCCCAGGAAACCTTTTAAAACCTCCACCAGCAGCCCTGCCTTCACTTCTCATTGCACTTAGGAGGAGGCCCCTGGGGGCCCCAGCTGCTCCCTGGGTCTGCACTGGTCTTCCTGGCTGGTCCCACCCCAGCCTTCAGGTCTCAGCTAAATCACCACCACTCTCAGAGGGTGCCCTGCCCACCCTGGCTTAGTGTCCCTCAGCCTTTTCTTCCCATTTTCCCTCCCCCTTCCCACCTGGAAAAAGCCCATTTAGACACTTTTCCCCTAATTGTTCCCCCAGGAATGTGAGTACCACAGATAGACTGGATCTCTCTCTATGTACTGTATATATCTATAGGTACAAGATTATGCAAGATTTTTAAAAAAAATTCGGCTTGCCCCGTTGTGTGTGCATGCCCAGCTGCAGCAGCACGGCCCTCCTGCCCCGCTTTCCCCATCGCACTACCTTTGCTTTGTTTATTTTTGGTGGATCTCCCCACACCAGAATGTAAAGTCCAAGGTAAGAGGGGCCCTGGAGGTTTTGTTCACCATGTGTCCCCAGCACGACTGGCATCGCCGGCACTCAGCGAATATAGAAACTCCGCAGACAGCCTGCTATTTAGAGCCACTCAGCCACCAATCATGGGGAAGTGAGGAGGGAGAGCTGAGACCTCAGGCCCAAGGGCCGTATAGGACTCCGCAGGGCCATGGGGGAGCGGCACTAGGGGTGCCACCCTCTCCCTGTAGCTGTGCATGATGGGAGGCGGGTGCATGAGACACCAGAGAAAGGACTGAGGCCATTTCTGCTTTTAGAATACTGATGCATTTTTTATTAAAGAAGAGAATAAAGCATTTGTAAATATATTTCTCTCACGTATACTTCAAAGGTGATGCTGGTCAGCCACTACAGAGCTGGGGGACAGACAGGCCAGAGCTCTTTCCCCACCCTCTGACTCCACTCCTCCCCCCAGGTAACAGAGACACATGGAGGGCTGGGAGCTGCCCAGCCCCAAAGGACAAAGGGTTCCAAGTTGCATGAATGGAAGGACTCAGCCGCCAGCTCGTATCACAGTGCCGCCCAGAGAGTAGGGTGGTGTCTCCAGGGAGGTCAGACATGCGTGTTAAGAAAACCCCTGTACCCATTGCAAATAAGTAAGGCATAAAGGTTCTCCATAGGTTCCTGGCACAGAGGCCAGGGCCACCACCTTCCACTGGACTGTATGGCTCCTCTGATTTCTAGGGTCTCAGGAAGGGCGGCAGAAGGAACCAGAAGTCCTGAAGGACTGGCCAGGGCAATCTGGGGACGTTGGCATCTCTTAGCTGAAAGTTGACTCTCTGAAGTCTTAAACCAAAAGATTAAACCCCTAACCCAGCTGGGTCCTCAAAAGCCCCCCCACAAAGGTGGGAGGTTAAGAGCAGGCATTTTATGAGGGAGAGAGAGGGGACAGGTTTCTCTTCCCTGTCCCAATTCGATACTACTCGGTGTGGAGTAAGGATCTGACAGTCCCCAGTGAAGGGGGGGTAGAGGTGGACAGTGAGACCACCAGCTGGTGGCACATGCCCAGGACATTCTGGGGGCTGCAGATGTGACCTGTGCCAGGGTTGGCCTGTGGGGAGCATGGAGTGAATGAGACATCATGGTCCCTGAGATGGGGGCAGGTGAAGAGAGGGGAGGCAGAAGCCAAGCTTGGTGAGTGGGAGGCGGTGTGCAGAGATGGGGCTCCTACCGCCCCAGCCCCTGGAAGGCTTAACAGCCCCAGAAGGCATTTCTGGGCTGGACCTGGGGGGGGCTGGCTCTGAGGGAAACGGTGCATGGCTCTGCCACGGGCTCCCTCTTCCCCTCCTCTGACTGGCTACAGATCTGCTGTGGGCTGAGGGTCTCCAGGGAGAAGCCTGGCCTTGGCAGGGCTGGATCAGGGGACACTCGGGGCCTGGCTGAGGCCTCCTGGTCTGCATGGCAGGGGCTGTCTCTGACCTGGTCAGGACCCCACGGTGGGGCAGCTGGTGCTAAGGGAATGTGGGAGCATCACAGCTGGGGAGAAGCAGTGGGTGGTCCAGGAGACCCCTGAAACCTGAAACAGTGGCTCTGGGGTCCCCTTTCAAGTGTTTCCAGTTGTGGCAAGGGGTCAAGGAGACTTCCCATTGCAAATCTCTCAGAAAAAACAAACTTTGGAAAAAATTTAAAAAGCCAAATAATCCAGAAAGGCTTGCAGAAGCCTGGCCACCAATCTGAGGGCGAGGCCCAGGGTCAGCAAGCCGGGGGCTGGGAGAGCATGGCGATCCCTGGGGGAGTGGGGACGTTTGGCTTTGAAACTCTGAACTGCGCCTTTGGGCTGATGCAGGTGGCCAAGGGCTCCTGGGAGGCAGGACAGGTTGGCCGCCTCCCACGTCATCAGGGAACACGCTGTGTTCCCAGATCAGAGGGGCCCCTTCCTCCTGCGCCTCTGGAGCAGCCACGTCCTGTGATGCATTGCTGCTAAAGGCTCTACCTCACCAGAGGATGCACGGTCCAGGCATGCGGGCCAGGAAAGGGTCACTTGCTGCTGTGCGTCTTGACTTTGGTGGCGTTGATGTCAGCCTTGGTCTTCTGGATCCTGGAGAAGATCTCCTTGAAGAGCGCCTTGTACTCGGGCTGGCTCTGCTCCAGCCGCTTGTCCACGGCCTCCACGTGCTGGCTCAGGCTTTTCTCCCCGGCCTTGGTCTCCCCTTGGCCCTCCTCGCCCCCGCGCAGGTCCCTCCACGAGCTGTCCCGGGAGATGGGCCTCGAGGTCTGCACGCCGGCATGCCGCACGCCCGCCCCGTGCTGCCGGCACTTGCTCAGCAGCTCCTCGTACTTCTCGAGCAGTGCGTGGTACTGCTCGTCCACCTCGCGCAGGATGGACATGCCCCGCTTGCGCACGCTGTTGGCGTGCAGCGTCAGGTTGCCCGCGTGCCGACTGGCTGGGTCTTTGGCCACGATGGCGTTGAGCGCCGTGTCGCTGCAGCTCTTGCGCACTGCGTGACCCGGGGATGCGGCCGGCGAGGGGACACCGTCCTGGGCACCCGGGTCCTCCCCGCGGCCCGGCTGGGGGTCGTCAGCCTCAGGGGCCTGGGTGAGGGGCGCCAGCAGAGCCTCAGCCAGCTGGTCTTCCCGGCCCAGCAGGTAGGTCTTGGCCTGCTTCATCTGCTGCAGCTCCAGCAGCTCGGCCTCCAGCTCCTGCACGCGCAGGCGGCAGGCCTCCATGTCGCACAGCTGCCGCTCCAGCTCCGAGTACTCCTGCAGCACCGCCGTGTACTCGCGCTCCGCGCGCTCCTTGCGCTGCCGCTCCTGGCTCACCTGCGAGCGCAGCGCCCCCACCAGGGTCTGCAGCCGCTCGTTCTCCTGCTCCAGGGGCCGCGGGCCCAGCTCCAGGGAGGAACTGTGGAGGCGGAAGGCATCCTTGCACCTGGCAGGGAGTGGCGGTAGGGGGCAGGGGGCGGGGCAGAGGTCATGGCCAAGGCCCCACAGACCAGCCTGGGTGCTTACAAATCTCTTGTGCACTGGGCTGGAGTTCTGTTTGCCCCTCTCCATCCACTCTCCACCCTTCACCCTTCTCGCTTCTCCCTTCTCCGTGCCTCTTGCCTGGGGATGGGAACAGCTCCCCTCTCTGCTGCAGCCCTGGGCACTGTAGTGTCCCGCGGTTTCCCTACTCCTGGCCCACACCTCTTCTTTATTAACTTCTCTGTTCCTCTGTGTGAGGCACTATTTCCTGCCAGGACTCTTATTGAAACACCCACTAAATATGTGACATGTATTCTTACCTTATTAAGTGTAAGAGTTGTCAGGTCTTAGATTTGATGGGAACTGACAAGACAGTGGTTGACCCCTCCTGGGTTAGAATTCTGGCTGTGTCTCTTACTAAACAAGTGACCCTGGGTAAGACACATAACCTCTGAGCTTCAATTCTCTCATCTGGGTAGTGGGCATAACAAAACACCCCTCACAGTGGTTGCAATGAGAATCAAATCAGCACTCAGTAAATGCCAGCAGCTATGACTGTCATTAGTAAGAGGACCAGTTTCTCTCGTGGCCTGGATGATGCACCAACTCTTGTTCCCACCTGCTGCCCCCCTGCCCTGGCTGGCAGCACTGGGGACTCAGAGACACCGAGTAGTGCCCTCACCTACCGGGGGCTGGTGCACAGCTCCTTGAGGCAGGGGAAGGTATGGATGGTACGCCTGCGTTCCCGCTTCTCCCGGAGCACTCGCAGCTGCTCCAGGCCCCTCAGCTGTTCCACCTGGGCCTGCAGCTCCTCCACCTGGGCCTGCAGGCGCTCAATGGTCTCCATCAGCCTGGGGGGGTGGGAGGTGGGGCAGGGGACATGCAAAGGAGAGGTTTTAAGGGGCGAGGGCCAGCCCACCTTACTGCGCTCTGGCTCCCTGCAAATGGAAGGATGTGGGGAAGGGGACGGGCAGGAACCTTGGAGCTGTGCTGCCTAGTCCAGGGGTCAGACGGGCAACTCTATGCATGCCTAAGGACCCACTCTTCTTCCATACCTCCCAGGTCAAGCCGATCACACCTCCTCTGTGCCACCTCAGTTCCTTGAACACTATTCTATCACTTACCATCCTGCACTGAAATAGAATATTTACATGCCTGCCTTCTCTCCCAGGCTGTGAGCTCCCAGCGGGTGGGACAGCATCTTTGTATCTCCACCATTGTATCCTCAGTGTCTAAAACAAAGCCTGCAGGAGTTTGAGACCAGCCTGGGCAACATAGCAAGACCCCATCTCTACAAAAAACTTTAAAAATCAGCCGGGCATGGTAGCACTTGCCTGTATCCTAGCTACCTGGGAGGCTGAAGCAGGAGGATTGACTGAGCCCAGGAGTTTGAGGCTGCAGCAAACTATGATCATGCCACTGCACTCCAGCATGGGTAACAGAATAACAGCCTGTCTCTAAAAATGAAATTAAAAAATAAAACAGACCCTGGTGCATAGTTGGTGCTTAAAGAAGGGTTGTGGCCTAAATGTTAAACCATGAAAAATCGACATGGATAAACTCACTACCATCCCAGGTTTTTAGGGAGAAGTACATGAGTCATACCCACCAGTCCGTAGACCCATGTGCACACCCAGCCCTGGGCCTCTCCCTCGTCCGCTCCCCAGCCCTCAGCCGGGCCCTCACCCATGGATCTTCTGCTGGGCAGCCTTACTCTCCAGCACCAGCCTCTGGTTGGTCAGCTCCAGGTCTCGGGCTGTCAGGTCCAACTGCTCGTACACTTTGGCATGCTGCTCGTTCACATGCCGCAGAGTATCCAGCTGCTTGGTCAGGTACTGGGGGCCAGGGGGCATGGAGTAACCTTTTAGAATGGGGCAGGGGTAAATGTCTCTGCCTGGGCCCTCCTCCCACTTCTAAGGACAGGTTTGCTTTGAAATATTGTCTTCAGCTGATTGAGGGGTAAAGACAGTGCAATAGGGCTGCCTGGGATAGTTGTGCGGGTTGTGAACTGCACAAGGCTGTTGGGCCAAGGTTGTGTCTGCTAAGTGGGTGCCTTTTTCTAAGTTGCACAAAGGCACATGTGGGCCAAGGGACCTCTGATGGGTGGGGCAAGTACATGCAGGGCCTGCAATGGCCCCTCACCTCGATCTCCTGCACTTGCTCCTCGTTGGTGGAGTACATCTGCTGCAGGGACTCCTCCAGCTCCTTGTTCCTCTCCAGCAGAGTCTTCCCCAGCTCCGCAGCCAGGTGTAAGTCTGGGGGGAGGGATGAGAGGGTGGGAGAAACATGAATAGCATGAGAACAAAGACCGAGGACCCCCATTAATGTTCAGAGCATCCACTCTGGCAGGGAGGCCCTAGGCAACCAAGACACAGGGAGCCTTGAGGCCTGGGAGGAGATGTAAGCCAGGAGCTAAGCCTCTGTGCTGACTGTCACTTCTGGTCCTTTCCTGACCCTCCTAGGGCTTGCTCCCCCTCTCCTTCAAGTCTGTGGTTATATGTCACCTTCTCCAGGGGGTCTTTCCCTAACCACTTGATTCAAATTTGCCACTTCTACTGCCCTGTACTCTTTCCCCCCAATAATTTTTCTACTTAGCATTTAGCATCATCTAACTTACCAAACACCTTACTCATTTATCTTGTTCATCTCCCTGAACTAATTGTGAGCTCATGGCATGGGGATTTTTTTTTTTTAGAGATAGGGTCTCATTATGTTGCCCAGGCTGGATTACAGTGCCCATTCACAGGCGTGACCATGGCTCACTGCAGCCTTGAGCTCCTGGGTTTGAGTGAGCCTCTAGCTTCAGCCTCCCGAGTAGCTGAGACTATAGGCATATGCCATGGCGCCTGGCTGGGACATGGATTTTTATCTGTTTTGTTCACTGGTATCCTCAGTGCCTAGGGCAGTACCTGGCACAGAGTCAGTGCATAATAAATAAATCTTTTTTGAAAGAATGAGTGGAATGTGGTAAGAGCATCCACAGACAGGAGCAAAGTGCCCTAGGATGACAGGTAAGGGAGGGCTTCACTCTTCCTGGGGGCAATGGGAGGCTCAGGCAAATGGGCATCCTTCAAGTTGGGCTTGGAAGGGTGAATAGGAGCTCGCCGAGAGGCAGAGAGGGCAGAAGGGCTTGCCGAGTATTAGAATTAGATGAAGATTCAGAGCTCTTTGGCCCAACTTCTTCATTGTATGGATGACAGGCAGGGGAGTGAAGAGTGACTAGCCCAAGGCCACCATTTGGTTTATGGCCATGCTGGGAGTAGAATTCAGGTATCCTTACCCCAGTTGGGTACCATTCGATCCTGGTAACACCTGTTCTTTTCTCAAACCTTCTACTTTCCTTGGGCAGCAAAACTATCCTCCTCCAACAGCCCTAGTTCTTGTGCCTTGTAGGACTGGAAACTCTCCTCCCCCACCCCAGCAAAAGGTAAATGAGCACCCATCAGAAAGGCTGGGAGAGAATCTGTCCTGTTTTTAGGGGATGTTGGGGGTGGTGGGGGAAGGGGTTAGAAGGAAGTGGCAGGCACTGAAATTGTTAAAACTTCTCTTTGTGGGTCTGAGTTGTGTGATGGTACCTAGACATTTGGAATGGATATAACCCCCTACCACCACACATATACATATTAAATATATTTATTCTTCCCTTCATTTCTAAAAAGAATTAGGCAGGGTGAGAAAAATATTATGGAACTCATTGTGGTTTATGGTTACACAACTCTGTGAATATAGGAAAACCATTGAATTGTATGCTTTAAATGAACGAATTGTATTGTGTGTGAATTAAATCTCAATAAAGCTGTTTAAAAAAAAAAAGATTTAGGCAGCTTAATCCAGAGACTGAGACTGGTGGCGGAGAGCATGTCCTTAAAGATATCCTTAGAGCAAGCTCAGGCCAAGTTTCACAAGGCTGTGTTCTTATTTATTTATTTATTTATTGTGACACGGTCTCACTCTGTCACCCAGGCTGGAGTGCACTGGCACAATCATAGCTCACTGTAGCCTCGAACTCCTAGGCTCAAGCAATCCTCCTGTCTCAGCCTCCCGAGTGGCTGGGACTACAGGCACGCGCCACTGTGCCTGGCTAATATTTTTTATTTTTTGTAGAGATGGGGTCTTGCTATGTTGTCCAGGCTGGTCTCAAACTCCTGGCCTCAAGTAATTCTTCCACCTTAGCCTCCCAGAGTGCTGGGATTACAGGCATGAGCCATGGTGCTCAGCCCTGAATAGCTTTAATGTTTTTCTTAAGGCATGCATGATATAAAAAAAGGTACGTAAAGGTTAAAAAGTCATGATAAAAAAATTACTTGAAAATATACCCCTATACAATGTTAGATCTATAATTGGGAATTCCACAAATAAATGGACATGGCCTGAAATGGTTATGAAAGAATAATGTCATTCATAAGTAATTAAAATTACATTCTTTGTATGTGGCCTGGGAGGAGGGGAGAAATGGAGTAGAAGAAAGAAAAGGAAATATACCACCTAGAGAAAGATGTTGTTAACATTTGGTGGCCATCCTTCCAAACAGTTCTCTTTGCTCTAAACACCTATGGATATAATTTTGTGTAAACAGAATCATATTTTTCTGTACCTGCATTTATCAATACAACATGCGTAGATTTTTGTGTCAGCATAACTCCATATGATCATTTTTAGTGGATGTAGAATATTCAATTGTATACAGGCGTCTATATAACTGTCCCTAAATAGAACTTAGTGTTGGACGTTTAGGGTGTCTTTCAACTATTTTTCTATTAAAAATGAAACTATAATTAACTTCATCGTACAAAAACATTTGTGCAAATCATTGCCTGTTTCCTTAGGTCACTTTCCTGGAAACAGAATCACTGGGACAAAGGGTAGGCCTTTTTGAGTCATTCTGCCAAAAGACTGTCCAGGAAAGCGTTGGTCTTTTTCACTTTATGAGGCTATTTCTTAAACAGCTCTCAATGTAGGCTGGCGGTGTAAATCCAGATCAAGATGCATAAAGACAGCTCCGCTGGGCCAGTATGATGTGGCCCAGGGATTCAGCTCTTTCCTGCTTCCCTTTTTACACATACTGATAGTTCTAGGGTCCCCAGAGGATGGATGGGCTCTATACTCCCTCTGGGCAAGCTTCTAAATACAGTTGTTTCAGCTGAGAGCTTTGCTATGCATCGGGCAGGCCTGGGGTGGGGAGGTCTTCCTCTCAGACAAACGCTGAGGACAGTGACTCTCGGTGGGCAGTCTAGGGCAGAGCCTTGGGCTTTCTTTCAGCCAAGCTGGGGGCAGGACTCAGTCACCTTTTGAAAGCCAGAGGGGCCTGATCAGCCACCAGGCCTGGACAAAAGGCCAAGCTGCCTGACAGGAACAAACCCGGAGACTGCCCGGACACGCAGAGGTGAGGTTTGAAACAGCCAGAGTGGAGCCTCCAGGGCTGGGCCTACGCCCCAGGAGGGCCTCATGCCCAGATGTCATCCGGAGAAGGAGGGCAAAGCTGCTTTCCTAGCGCAAGGCTGCCACAACTTAGCCTGGAAAAATGAAAGCAGCTTCCCCAAACACCTACCTCAGCCGTTAAAAAAAACCTAAATTATGTCTCACAGGTAACCTTTAACCTTGAGCAATTAGCTTTCTGATGAGGATGCCAAGAAAAACTAGTTACCTAACATAAACCTAGTAAGAGAATGAGGACACTTGCTGTAGGAATTTATTAACTACAAGGTGGGAAAGTCTGGAGGCGTCTACAAAGCGTGAAGTTGGATGTTAGGATTGTCGAGCCCTGTGTTCTGTTGTGCTTAGCAGTAACTGGAGAGCGCAGCCAGCCGCCCACGGTTCGTGATGAGAGCACCAGGTCATCTTCCGAGTCCCCTAATGGGATGGCGAGCATTCAGCTCGTCCCCAAACGGGATCCAGTAGTTCGGGTATAAATGAGAAGGAACAGAGGGCCACCCTGCTAAATGTTTCCCCCTTGGAAACTATTAGGTGGTCTGTGAAGAGGCCACTGCTACTGATTCCTCCCCCTGCAGTGGCATCAGGGGACACACTTCACGTGGTGGCCTGCGTGGAGCCCC